GGGTGCTCGGAGAGAACAGTCAGGTGGGAGGTGACAGTAGTACTGTGAACTGGCTAGATTAGGGAGTCACCCCAAAAGGGCCTTAGAGTGCAGTAACATGAGAGTGATACAAAGTACCAGTAGCACAGTGTCTGTCATACTGTGTGTACTCAACAGGGTGACTGTCATTGTTTTTAAGTCATGGCATCTGAGATTATACTCCTGACTTCATCTTTAACTTAGTCTGTTGGATTTTGAAGTAAAATTTTAGGAAATACTAGGAATGCAGAACAGAGCTGGTAGAATTAGCCAAGTGAAGGGAAAAGGGATAGCAATGAGCTAAAAAAACAATTCCCATAAATCCTACCAGGTAGGATTTACTTAAGGTCAGGCCTCCCCCCTTTAGATTTGCATTTCACATGTGTTCTTAATCCATCAGCAACCCATGAGGTCAGCTGGCATGATGTCCATTTTACAGATGAGGTTAAACAGCTAAAGATAATAAAGATTGGAGCTGCTGCAGGACTGGAGGACCTCTGCCTTCTAGATCAGTCCCTTTGCACCTCTCCCACAACGCTACTCCTGCTGTAGCCAAAAGCACAGACTTTCTAAGGAGGCTACAAGAAATGTGGGCAGCTAGCAGCCCAAAAAACATGGTGAGCTTCAAGCAGCTCCCCTTACAGAGTTCTGTACAGCTGGGTTGTAGTGTGGGGATTAGGAACAGGCTCTCTGGAGCCGGAATCCCCACCTTGAATCCCAGTTCTACAACTTCCTGCTCTGTGGCTTTAGGTTATTCACTTCTCTGTGTCCAATTTCCTAATCTGTAGAAGAGGGATAATAATAGTACCTACTTCATAAGATAGGTACTTTAGTTAATGAAAATAAAGTGCTTAGAACAGGGTCTGGCATACATAAACAGATAAATTTTACCTGTGATCATGATGATCTCTCTTGGGCTGCCAGGTGACAGGATTTAAAACAGGAGTTACAACAATAGCTAGCATGTCCTTAGTGCACACAATGTGCCAGGAACTAGGCTAAGTAAGCACTTTGTGCATCATTTCATCCAAGCACCATGGAATCAGGAATTTGTAGACAGTGAAACTGAAGTCCAGAAACTTGAAATCACTTGACCAAGGTCACTCAACTAATAGGTGGCTGAGCCAGGATTTAACCTAGGAATGGTTCTAAAGCAGGGGTATCAAACTCATTTTCACAGGGGGGCCACATCAGCCTTGAGGTTGCCTTCAAAGGACCGACATAATTTTAGGACTGTATGAATGTAACTACTTCTTAACTGTTAAGGACTTGAAATTACATTCAGCCCTTTGAATTTAAACTGGTACCTCCAGATTACAAAGAGGGAAGTCAGAGCCAGGCAGTTAGCCACCAGGACAGAATCCAGGTTTCTGAAACCCACCCAGGGCTCTTGCCTAGGATCAGCCTTAGCTGTGCCCAGAGAAGGCCTGAGAAGGCCATTTCTCCTGAAATGGCTGGTTGCAGGTTGCTGCCCTCCCCACTTTCCTGTGGCCCATGCACAGAAGCCCAAAAACTGGTGTTCTCCCCTAGAGCGACTGTACCAAGCTGTTCAGCCAGGGCATTGGAGGGGAGCAGGCCCAGGCCAAGTTTGACAGCTGCCTTTCGGACTTGGCTGCCGTGTCCAACAAATTTCGAGACCTCTTGCAGGTAAGTCCCAGATTCAACAGCTGGCCGAATCCTGTGCCTGTGTATTGCTGAGAAGAGTGTTACTGACTTACTGTGGACTATGTGCATAAGGAAACAGAGAGGAAGGGTGTGGGGGTAGCATGCAAGCCACTGAAACTGTGCAAGTTCCTTGAGACTAAAGGCCCGTTGGTTTTTCAGCAGTGCAGTTATCACATTGACAGGCTAGCATTCTGGTCTTCTAGAATCTCCACTTGGCCCCACTGTGTCGAGAGCCCTGAGAAAGGTGCTCTGAGGGAATGGAACCACGTGGTGTCACGGACCCGCTGCTTGACCTTAGGCACAGGTGCTGCCAGTACCAAGAACTCAGAAGTCTCTTCTTTTGAGAGTGTACACACCAACCTCTAGGCCTTATCTCTGACCTGGACTTCAGCTGGCATAGATCTGGAGAGGACTGGTTGTTCTTGGCCTCTTTTATCAGCATTTTCTGTTTCACTTCAGACAGCCTGCAGATGGTCTCAGATCTGGAAGAATGCCCTGGCAGTCAGGGGATGGGGTAGGAGAGAGGAAAGGCATGGAGAGCTGTGCTTTGTGGGTCTGACACGTCTCCACCTTGTCCTTCGCAGGAAGGGCTGACAGAGCTAAACAACACAGCAATCAAGCCGCAGGTGCAGCCTTGGATCAACACCTTTCTCTCTGTTTCCCACAACATCGAGGAGGTCAGCCTGACCACTGGCAGCCACCGAGCACAGGATTATCCCCTTGTTCCCCTAGTCCCCAGCTGGAGGGCAGTGCAGCTGCCTAAATCAGTGATGTTCCCCAGTGCACCGCCAGAATTTTTACAACATACAATACCTGACTATTGAGTCAGGGGCACTGACCTCTTTTCCCTTAGATTGTCAAATTGAAAAATGACAACAGCTAACACAGCAATTGATGTCTGGTATAAATGAATTAAAATTTTACCTATTTTTTTGTCGGATCAGCAAAAAGTGAATTTTTTGATGTGCTGCAGAATTTTAGTAATTAGTTTATATGTGACATGAGATGAGGAAAGTTGGAACTTGCTGGTCTAGACTTGTCCTTAAGTGCTTCGAAGGCCCATTTCCCTCACACCCTCGTGGCCTAGCTTCCTCCCAGGAGACAGGTTGTTCCACAGTCAGAAGGGTCAGAAAAATATTTACAGGGAGTTTGCCTTGAACTGATACATCCTCTTTTATTGAGGCTTTTTTTTTACCTTACCTATCATCAACTTAGCCTTTTTTTAACTTAAGGATTTTATTCTTATAGAACATGAGGCGCTAGAGTAAATAAAAGCCAGGATCCCATGTTGTGTGAGCCACAACCACAGCCCGGGCCGTTTTCCAGTGGGAAGGGTGCTGCAGAAGCAGCACAGTCACTGCCCACTGGGGTGTCCGAGCTGGTTTTAAGGTGGATGAGTCAGAAGCTACAGGGGAAGAAGGACCTATTCTGTTAGAGGGGTGGAAGTGGGGTGAGGATGAATGGTTCTTGGAGAAGCCCTGTGACCCATCTCACTTCCTAACAACAGGAAGAATTCAACGACTATGAGGCCAATGACCCTTGGGTGCAACAGTTCATCCTTAACCTGGAGCAGCAAATGGCAGAGTTCAAGGTGAGCAGGGGGTCTGGGGACCAGCTTATGGAATTACCCACTCCTGCCCAAACCAGCAGCCTACAGCTCCTCATCATACTCCTGCTGGGAACCCTGAAAGTCCTTCCAAGTCCCAGTCCATAGAAACACTCCCCGATGGCTTCATGTAACCATCCCTATCCCCCAAAGACCCCACCGTGTAGGCAGAGGCGTGGGTAGGACTCCCACTGATGCCTAGCCTCTGTGTGCAGGCCAACCTGTCTCCAGTCATCTATGACAATCTGACCGGCCTCATGACCAGCTTTGTGGCAGCGGAACTGGAGAGAGTGGTGCTGAAGTCCACCTTCAACCGGGTAAGGTCCAAGGAGCACGGGTCCCCAGCTGTGTCATTTCTCCTCCGCGGAAGTTGGGTCCTGTCACTTGCATACCCTATTTGCTACTCCCAGGCCTTGCATATCTAGACCCAGTCCTTCCATGGCTTCTGAGGCCTTAGAGCTGATTGCAACCACCTAAAGCTCTGATGGACCAGAGGGCCAGCTTTGAACAGTGACGAGGCTTGTGTTTCCTTGCAGCTGGGCGGTCTGCAGTTTGACAAGGAGCTGAGGTCACTCATTGCCTACCTTACCACGGTGACCACCTGGACCATCCGAGACAAGTTTGCCCGGCTCTCCCAGATGGCTACAATCCTCAACCTGGAGCGGGTATGCAGGGCCCCCTTTGCCTACCCATGGAAAAGTATCTGGGCAGAGAGGCGAGAGGCATAAACCAAATTTGGATCCTGCCGGAACCTTCTCCTTCCTGGGCACCACAGCTTTGAATTTGGTGGAGCCCCAGGCCTTCTCTCAGGATAGTCCCCTCCTTGCTGACTGTCTCTGTTCTTCCCACAGGTGACGGAGATTCTAGATTACTGGGGCGCCAACTCCGGCCCATTGACATGGCGCCTCACCCCTGCTGAAGTACGCCAGGTGCTGGCTCTGCGCATCGACTTCCGCAGCGAGGACATCAAGAGGCTGCGCCTATAGCTGCCAGGGTGAGCCCACCCAGCCCATTACACCTCAGGGCCCATTCCCTAAGTGGCCATAGCCGAGGAATGAGCAAGGCTCTCTGGCACCAGGAGAGGTCTAACAGCCCAGACCATTCCACCACTGACAACAGAAATAAGGCATTGACTGACTCGTCTCTGCACTCAGACCTAGCTGAGTGGTGCTCTGGGAGCAGCCTCTCCCCACCAAGACGTGGGTTCCCCTGGACTCCTGATGAGGTACGAAAGTCAACCCGGGCCAGCCTTGTCCATGATGGTCATGATGTCATCCCTGGACACTGCAGCAGACAGACTGCCTCCCTGCAGGCGCTAAAGGATCTGGGTGCATCTGGGAACCTAGGAAATTAGGGTTACTCCAAGAGGAGGATGTGATATTTATGACCACCCTGATTAAAGGAGACTCCTTGGAGAGATGCCAGCGTGCTGTTTTCAGGGAGGGCTGGGTACTGCGGGGAAGGCAGGTACCAGTTGCACTGAAATGAGAAAGCAAACACCTAAAGCCTCAGCCTCCTCCCACACCCAGAGCAGCACACAGCTACTGCCAGGCCCCACATGATAGGTTGTGACTCATCCGATCCCAGAGCCTACCCCCGCTCTGGGGTCCTCAGCACCAGAAGCTGCGTCATCCCCAGGGCAGTTTCCCACAGTGCCAGGAGAGGTGAGAATTCCTCCCGGCAGAAACAGAACAGCTTTATGAGGACAACCTTGAAGGGCAGATTGACTTTATTCCCAGAAGATCATGGTCCTGAAAACCTATTGCCCACAGGCTCTGGGTCACCGGGCACAGTCCACGTTAACTGGGTATGGTCTGAGTTGGCAGTGACTGGCTGTAGCCTACACTGGCTCGCTGCCACAGACATGGGTACAGACCGCACCCCTACTTCCACTCCCCCAGCAAGTGAGCCTGGGGGGTTAAATATGAAGTCTCTACTCAGGCAAAAGCTGGCCTCTAAGGAAGGACACAGGAAATGCCTCAAAAGGGTCAGCCTTCCCAAGGCACCCAGCCATCTGCTGAGGCAGGCTGTCGTCCCCTTCTTCCAGGGCCCTTGTGGAGAGTGAAACGGTCAAGGCTTCAGCTGGGCCATGGGATTTGTAAAGGCCACAAGGGACACTGAGCTTAGGACCTTCTGTCCAGATGGAGCAGAGGCCAAGCCTAGGCCACTGTCAACCAGTAGGTTACAGCCCCGATCCCCAGCACGGTCTCCGTTTCACCAGGCTTCAGAAGGGGCTGGGCTCAAACTCGGGTTAGCTTCCTTTGGGAGCAGATTCATAAAGAGGTGGGTGGGGAGTAGGAGGCTGAGTGCTCTGCAGGGGGTTGGGGGGGCTGCTGTTGCTCCACATTTTTTCTTGCATAGGGACCGGCCTCACAGGAAGGGGTATCAGGTTGTGGTCTCACTCCCCAACAGCTGTAGGCTCAAGCCCTGCATATCCACTTCTACCAGATGGATGCTGTAGTTCCCGAGGCCCTGGGAGCAAAGGACAAGAGGTGTTTAGAGGACTCGGGGCAAAACTCTGGCCTTCCGGAGGCTGCAGCCCTTGGTTAGCCAGTAGGCCACAGTGAAGGCTCCCACCCACTCACCAGATCCCGAACCCAGCACCATCAGGTACCTCAGTCTTGGCAAGCACAGCCTCCAAAGCCTCCTTTTGCCTTGGCTCCTTGGTCAACAGGTAGAGAAAGCCCCCACCACCTGCCCCTGCCAGGCTCTGGCCATGCACGTGGGGGGCCAGGACATCCATCATTCGCCGTACAACCAGGGGCTCACAGCCTGGAGCCATGAGCTTCTTCTGCTCCCAGTACAAGGTCAGGCACTGGCCCAGCAGAGGCAGGCTTCCTGGGGTGGGGGCAGAGAGGCGAGTGGCGGGCCTGAGCCAGAATATTCTGTCAGTGCCCGTTTGTTAATGACAAAGTGCCAAGAGGTACTGCTTAACCAGAGGCTGGAAACAGGAGTAATGAAGACCACCTCACAGGGTTGTCCGAGGGCTAATGCGCACAGAGCAGCTGATGTGGTGCACAGCAGTGTTCAGTAAACTACAGCCACTCACTTGGAACCCTGCTTAGCTCCGACTGGCACTCGGTTATGGGGCCAAACCTCTTCCTGCTTCTTGATAGGTAGGGCTCGAGGCCTTCCCCATGATGCAAGTATTGTCCTGAGAAAGGGCTCCCACCTAAGTGAGACCCTAGGGGAGACAGATGGTAGGCCTCTGTCCCTGGGGGCCTAACACCTAGGGCCTGGGCCAAGCCTGCAAAGCCCCCTGGCCTCAGACCCATGGGTGACAAAGCACTCACTCCTGGTGCCCTGCCCTCGGGAAAGGAGCACCTCACCTTGGTGGAAGGCTTCCACGCACTCCTCTGCGTGCCGCACCAGGCTGTGAGCATTCTGCACGACAGCAGGCAGCCGGGCATACCAGTTCCTCAGCACATCCTGCAGATGGGGCAGTAGGGGTGTAATGAGGATCTGGGTCCTGCTGAGCCTTCTGCCTCCCTTCCTCCCGGGGCTGGGGCTCACCTGCAGCAGGTTGCGAGCCAGGCGGGTCTTGCCAGTGTACACCAGGAGCAAGTGGTCATTGAGCGTCTGGACAAAGCCCTCAGGCACAGTGATCTCCTCCACCTCAACCTTCAGTGGCAGCTGAGCCCGGGAGCGCCCCACCTTGATGCCAGGCATTAGGCCACCCACTTGGTCCTGCCAGCCACCTCCTGTGAGCCCAGGGTCCATCACTGTTGGAGCCTATCCGACCCAACTTCTCCCAGCCCAGGCTCCTGGCCCCCTGCATCCCTGGCAGGGACCAGTGTGGAAGAGAGCTTCCCCCAACTCGAGCTGGGCCAAGTGAACTGTCTCGACTTCTGTCCCCATCCTTGGGAGCAGGATGAGCCCGGCAAGAGGAAGGATTTCATTCCAGAACCGAGCTTGGGTTGCACAAGGCCAAGTTATACTGCAGACCTCATGCGTAGTTGGAGCCGAGGTAAACCACATCGAAGGGTAAGACCTTGCACTCACCTCTCTCCCAAGGAGAGGTGATAAAGGACTTTTCCTGCAGCCTCACTGACCCCTGCACCCTAGCATTTCTGGAAATAAGCTTTCAGCCTCGCTTTTCAAATGAAAAAGCTTGTTCATATCTTGCTTTAGTAATGAAAGGTATGGGTCTATTTTTCTCTTGCAGCTCTGTAAAAAATAAAACGAGATTGTTCTGACACAGACCCTTAATATTTGGGAAAGGGCCTACAAGAGTTTAAAGCAGGGGTGTCAAACTCATTTTCACCGGGGCCACATCAGCCTTATGGTTGCCTTCAAAGGACCGAATGTAATTTTAGGACTGTATAAATGTACTCCTTAACTAGGGGCAAGGAGCTCCGAGCTGCCGCCAGGTAGAAACAAGGTGCCAGGCCGGATAAAACAAGGTGGGGAGCCGGATTCCGCCTGTGGGCCTTGTGTTTGTCACCTGTGGTTTAAAGTATATATAAAATGCAAATGGCAGGAGGCATCTGGAACTTTACAGCCAAAACATGGTCTTTAATGGCAGGCCCCAAATGTCAGCTCCCTGGCTGCCTCTCCTTCAAAGCACCAAGCGCAGCTTGTAATTCTGTATTCGGATGGTTATTGATTGTCTGTCCCCAATGGACCATATTACTTTTGAGAGCAAGGGCCCTGTTTTTGCTCATTTTATCCCCCACACCCAACACCGAGTGGATTTCCAATAGCTGTCAATTGACCAAATGAAGGATTTGAACGGTACGTACATCTCAGAAGAAAACTGGAAAGGCCTCCCTATCTGCCCCTCTTGCTAATAACTACCTATTAAGGGATAAGTCATTACAATGAAAGGAGGAGGGTGGGCTGCAAAGTGACCAGAAAAGAGCATAATTAGCACCTGTACATCTTTGTGATAGTTTCCTGCCCAGAATCACAATGGGGATGAAGCCGGGCATCCTGGGGTGGCCACGGCATCCTAGGATCAGACAAAAGTAGCTGCCCCCCATTGTGCATGGAGTCTATGGGGCCATGGTGGCGAGAGGAGGGTAAAGCTTGGTGCTAGTAGCACGCCTCTGTGAGCACAGCCATGTTCTGGGCCCGCAGTGCCCCCCATGTAGCTGGCAGGAAGGGGAGGTGGGCACAGATGACTGTAGCCCAAGGAAGGGGCAAGTTGGCTGGAAAGGTAGACTGAAGGTCCTGTCCCCTACTCCAGACTCCAGTTGTCCCCAGCTCCACCCTAAGAGACACCCCTGGATGGCGACAAAGTCATGAGGAGTAAACATGTAAACATAGGTACCTAACACACATAAAAAGTACAGCACACAATCTGACACTTAGTAGGTGCTGCTAAAATGTCAGCTTCTTTGAGGTAGAAATATTTCAAGTTGAAAACCACCAGGAAAGGTAATAAGGAAGCTCTGACCATCTGAAGGAGCAGCACAGGGTCGTGGCTGTCTGCAAGCCCAGGGAGCTCCTGGAAGCTCTTGGGTGAGTGCCAGTGACCGCCGTCCCTCCAGGGAAGCCCCATACCTGTGGTGAGCATCTGCTCCAGGTGCAGCACTGCGTGGATAAGGGCCTCTGGGCTCACCATCCGGCCTGCCGCCCGCTGCAAGGCGGCCAGGGCAGTGCCTGCCAAGATGCTGCTGGTGCCTGCACCGCAGGGAGGAAGGGGTCAGGCCTGAAACAGCCCTGCCCAGCCCAGCCCTGCCCCACCCACGCCCTCTGGGGCAGAGGCAGTGAGGAGGATGCAAGGCGAGGCTAGACGGCGGGCATGGAGTGGTAGGCAACAGGGGTACAGGGCCCACTCACCAAGGCCAGAGCCATGGGGCAGCTCAGACCAGGTGTGCAGCTCGAAGCCACCCCCAAAGGTGCGCAGCAACTGCTCACTCAGCGAGAGCTTGGAGTGGACATGCACGATCCCCGCACAGATAAAGGCTGCCTTCAGCAGGGCCCCTACAGAAGGATCAGCACCCAGCAAGGAATTTGGTCTCCGAAGACAGAAGACATACCACCTCACCTCCACTATTTCCCAGCCCAGCATGGGGCTCATGTGGGGGACAAAAGCCCAGTAGCAGTGCAGACCCCACCCCCAAGCCACAAAAAGACATCTGGGCTCCCCAACATGGACAACTGTGCCAGTTCTACCTCCCGCACCTGCGTGCACCTGGCAAGGTGACCTCAGGGCTCCTCAACCAGACTGACTATAGCCCTCGGGCCAGACCCCCATGGCCAGCAGGATCTCCAGGGTTCTGCCCCTACCCCCCAGCTAGCTGTGTGTGCCGTCCCTACTGGCAGATGTCCTGGGTACCCTGACCTGGAGCTTGGGGCTGGCAGTAGTCCTGCAGGTCCTCCAGGCTCCGGCACACAATCTTCATGGCCATCTCATCCTGCCGAGGCCCCGCTGCCAGCCACAGCTCGGGCTCTGAGATGTGGCGAGCCCTGGCCCCAATGGGCCGACGGCCGTCCACTCGCACAGCCAGGCCCAGCACTGCCCCACCAAGCTCATAGGCAAGGGGTGGCGTGTCGCTCCATCCTCCTGCAGCAGTTGACAAGACTAAGCTGGTCACGGTGCTAAGAGCCCCGCTCCAGGCTGGCTACCCTCACCCCGCTCCAAGGGGCTTACCAGAGAAATCCACGCGAGCTGGGCACTCAGCCACCACCCACTGCCCAGGTGCCGGCAGCTCCACGGGCTGTGTGGAGACAAAGCGCTGGGCTGACATCACAGCCTGGCGGATCAGGATCTGCTGGGCCCCCTCGTAGTGGCGAGCAGCTCGCACTAGCAAGGCCGGTCTGCCAAGAGGGAAGGGAGAGGTATCGGCAGGAGCCCCGGGCTGGAGGCAGACTGCCTGGGTTTGGGGACCTGCCTGCCCTGGGTGACCCGAGGTCACCCCACCCCACCTCTCTCTGGGTTCCCACCTACAAGGATTACCACGGGCTTCTTCAGGGGCTCTGACATCATTAGCACTCACCTGCTCAGCCACTTGTCCCGCTCCTGGGCAAGTGCCTTCACACCCTCAGCCAGGTCTCCACACTCCAGGTACGAGAGGGGCCGAATCCACTCGGGATTGGCAGCAGGCCCACTCCGTAAACCACCTCGGCCTTCTGCCATACAACCCAGTACATCTGCCACACAGGCCAGCGCTCGGGCCGCCACGCCTGGATCTGCTGCGCCAGCTGCAACTGAGGGACCAGAGACCAGGGGTGGTTGGCGATGGGACCTACCCTCGGTGCCCTGTTCCCCAAGAGACTATGCAACAGTCCCCAGACACTCTAGATCCCTCACACATCTTCACTTTTGCCCAGGCTGTATCCTCACCTGCAAATGCACGCCCCACTTCTCTGCTCGCCCTGCCAGCCCCAGCCCAGCCCAGCTGTGCCTCTTTTTTTTTTAAGATTTTATCTATTTATTTATTTATTTTAGAGAGGGAAGGGAGGGAGATAGAGAGAGAGAGAAACATCAATATGCGGTTGCTGGGGATTATGGCCTGCAACCCAGGAATGTATCCTGGCTGGGAATCGAACCTGGGACACTTTGGTTCCCAGCCTGCGCTCAATCCACTGAGCTACACCAGCCAGGGCCCAGCTGTGCCTCTTCATCACCACCCAAGATGCCCAGAGTGGTTAATATCTCAGACTCAGGGGTCAAACCACCTGGGTTCAGTCTGAGCCCCACCCCCAGCTAGCTGTGTGGCTGTAGAAGAACAACTTCAATAGGGATGATTTTCCAGTCACTGGAACCATCAATGAGGTGCTGCCTGAGCCCCAGCCAATGTGCCTGAGCCCTCCAGTGGAGCCGGCCACATCCCCCTGCGGCTCTGGCACCTACGTCTCGGCACCCAGTACTGCTGGTGCTCGTAGGACTCAGAGGCTCATAACCAGGCCTCAGCCTTTCACCAAAAACTCCCCACTGTTAAGGATGAGGCTTCCCAGAAACCTAAATGCAAGCTCCACTGTGTCTCTTCCGTGCTTTGAAGTCTCATGGCTCCCTAGTACCCTCAGGTCATCAATCCAGAGGGCAGGTGGTGCTGGGTCTAACTTCCCAGCACAGAGATCCAGACTACTCACCCTGGTCCAACGTGGCCAGCAAGGGCCCAGGACAACCCTCACGGACAGCGGCCCAGATCAGCGGGCGCAGGCTGAGGTCCTGCTGGGCCTCAAGCACGCTGCGTGCCTTATGCAGGGCCTGGTGGAAGAACAGGTCCCGGCGGGAGGCCAGTGTGGCAGCCCGGTCCAGACACGGCTGCAGCTGCTCCCAGGACAGGCGCCAGGAGGCCCTCCAGGCCCACAGGGCCTCACCCCCATCCTCCTGGGGGTCTAACATCCACAGCATGTCCCGGGGCCCCACGGCCCTTGAGGGGTGGAGCACAGGAAACAGGCGGGCACTGGGAAGGCAACGCTCTGTCGGGGGCGTGTCTGGGTCCCACAGGTCCCAGTTTCTGGCATGGGGAGAAGGCACATTAGCTGGATGGAAGCAGGACTCCTGCTTCCTCACAAAGCTCTGACCGCCTGTCAACAGGGGGCTGGCTACTTCACCGAGGGCAGGACAAGTTCTTCGAGGTGCCACAAGCAGGCAGTTTAGGGAGGGAAGCAAACCACCCTGCCTCCCTTCCCAGGCCTCTAAGCAAAATCCCAATACCTGAGCACAGCCAGGGATTAGGAGTTGTCCAGTGGGGAGGTGCTAGGGAGGCTTGGGCTGCCCAAAACTACCCCTGTTTCCTGGGCTGCTGGGAGGGTAGGTGCTGCTCTGGGGCAGAGGCAGAGAGGAGCCCCCAAGCAGCAGCCGCCCTGGCTGCCGAGGCCCACGAAGCCCAAGGAGGCCATCAGTCTCACCGAATGCCTGTCTTCTGGAAGAACTCACTCCAGGGCATGTTGAGATACGTTCCTGTCCCCTGCCTCTGGGGAAAGAAGAGGAAGCAGTCAGGGCTTCAGAGGCCACAGGAAGGGGTTAGGGACACTGAGACCAGGGGGCTGGGACCTGCTCAGGAAGGGGCAGGAGGAGAGACTTGCACACACAAAAGCAAGTTCTGAAACACTGTGGCAAGCCCTGGAGCCTCGGCACTCCAGGCCAGGCGCCTGGAACCTGGCGCAGAATCCCAGGTCTAGGCCCAATCCACTACAACTGGCTCTGCTGCCCAAGGCTGCACACCTCCCCCTCCGAACCTCAGTCTCCGGCCTGTAAAGTGGGGTGAAAAATTCCCGGTCAGGCTGCCTGCCAGAGCAGACGAGGGGGCAGATACAGACACAGTGATACTCTACCGGACACAGCCTACTCCTCAGGCTAGCACTCAGCAAGCCCTGCTGTGGAGTGGGAGCTGAGCTGGGACCCCAGGGCTTCCCAAAGCCTGAAGTCGGGGTGAGGGAACACGGAGGGTGGCACCTACTTCCCAGCTGTCCAGACGGCCAACGAGGGTGAAGGCACGGACAGGGGTGCCGTGCAGCCGCAAGTGGTGCCCCCGCAGGACAAGGTCACGCAGCTCCATGCCATGCAGGGCCTCAGACTGAGCCGTGTCCAGGCCACTCAGGAAGCAACCAGTGCTGATGTGAATGGGGCCCTGGCAGGAGAGAGGTCAGGTATCCTGAGTGGGCGGTGCAGCTCCGGCAGCCCCCCAACACACACAGGACCTGGCCCCCAAGAGCCTTGCTCTCCCTCTGCCCCTGCTCTTAGGCCTCACCTGGAGATGGCAGTGCTGCAGGACACTCCCAGGACCCAGCCGGACAGGGCCCTCCAGCAGACAGCTGATCACAGAGCTCCCAGCCCCCAGTAGCTGCGGCTCCTGTGAAGATAGGGAGAAGCTCGTGAGGGCCCAGGGCCAGGGGCTGCCCCAACCCTCCACCACAGCCAAGGTCCCAGCCCATGCCCATCAGGAGCCAGATCCCTCTCTACACAGGCCCTGACCCCAGCCTCGGACTGGCTCTCATCTCTCCCCATTCACGCTGTTCCCCCGCAGGCCTACTCTCCGCTCTCCCTGCAATCCTCTAGAGCAGGGGTGTTAAACTCATTTTCACCGGGGGCCACATCAGCCTCTTGGTTGCCTTCAAAGGGCCAAAAGTAATTTTAACTCTTAACTGTTAAGCAGTAGTTACCTATATACAGTCCCAAAATTATTTTGGCCCTTTGAAGGCAACCTCGAGGCTGATGTGGCCCCCAGTAAAAACGAGTTTGACACCCCTGTTCTAGAGCAAATCTGAACTCAGTAATGGAGGTCCCACCAGATGACAGCTCTCCCAGGAAACCCCTCCCCCGAGTCCAGGAACCCCCACCACTCTGAAGGCCACCTCTGAACTCTATCTGTCCCCTTCCTCAGCACCATGGCACTGACCCAGGCCCATCACCTCAAATGTGTGTCTCCCCAGCAGACCCCAAGGAAAGGGTATAGGGTCTTCTCTAGCTTCTCAATCGGCCAGACCTGGGTGTGGAATCCTGACCTGGCCACTTACTGGCTCTGTGGCCTCAGGCAAGTTACTTAATCGATCTGAGCTGCCACTGCCTCATGTCAAATGGGGATAATAGCACCTACATTCATAGGTGTTAATCTGTTCCAAACATGGTCTAGTCCTTTCTGTCCTAGGAGCCCCTGTCCCGCCTGTCCTAAGGCACCTCTGCTGGTCTTACCTCCAGGCAGGTCTTACCTCTACTTGGGAGTGCACGACCTGGGCCCTCGGAGCCCCAGGGAACGTGAGGCTGTGCAGGAACTCACTGGCCGAGTTGGTCATGTAGCTGTAGCTGCCGTCGGGGATATATGCTGTAAAGATACAAGCACTGACCCCAACCCTATGCCTGCGGCTGCTCTGATGCCAGGCCTCCATCAGGTCTGGGAGGGCAGGCACAGCAATGAACCCATAGTGCCCGATGGGAAAGCTGAAATCCAGAGAGGTTCAGCAACCTGCCCAAAGTCACACAGCTAGAAAACGGAAAGACTGGGCCTGGAGCCCAAGAATGAGACAAAAGGAGGAGAGTTGTCTTTGGTGGGCAGGCAGTGTCAAGGCTCTGGGTTGGGAGAGGGGAACTGCCTGGTCCAGGCGCCCAGGGACCAGGCAAGCGGCAGCCTCATTCTGCAGGTCCTCACTCCTGCGGTCTCCCCACCCCAGAGACCCGAGAGGCAGCACCCACCCATTGTGAGGGGCTGGTCACGAAGCTGCCTCCACAGCTCAGCCCGGGCACCCTGAAGATAGCCTGTGACGTCTGCATCACCTTGCCCCATCTCTGGGGGCCGTCCCACCAGGAAGTTCTCTCTGCTCACGTTCCGGGCCATGCACAGCAGAATGTCAAAAAATAGAGACAGCTGGGGCAAGGGTGGGAAGTATAGCTATTAGGGGGTTCCTAGGCGAACTACGGCAGTCCCATCCCCGGAGACGCCGACCCCGAGAGGGGAAGGGGCTAGCCTGAGGTCACGCAGCCAGGTTGCCAGTGGCGGGGCCTCTCCCCGAGGCCAGGGCCTGCAGTCCCCACCCCCAGTCACCTGGACAGGCCGGGCTCCAGAGTCCAAGCCCATGTAGGTGCAGGCATCCAGGGGTGAGCTCACATGGGTGGCAAGGAGGTGCTCAGCAGTCTCCACAGAGAAAAAGGCGACCCCAGAGACCTGGAGGAGCCCCCATGAGGATCAGGCGGGGGGACCCTGGGGCCAGGCTTGGGCCTGAGTTGGGAAAGACACATGAAGATGGGCCAGGCCAGGCTGGCTGCCCTACCAGGCAAGGTCCTTCATCTTCGGGGCCACTCCGGCACCCGGATTCCAGGCCTCCCGGATGGCAAGTCCCCCAGAAAGGCACCTTCTGGAACCCCCTCCAATCTTAAGGCCTCCTCCAAAACCTAGTTCTCCATCATCCCCGTGGGCTGGTCCCAGACCCTTAACCACCCCTCTTATCCTCGTCCTTTATTCTAGAGTGATCCCCGAGTCCGGTTTCAGACTGCCTCCCAACTGCATTCCTGAGCCTGCTCACATTCTGGCTCTAGCCCTTCCAGTTCAGGACAAAACCCTTTCCTCAGACTCTGGCTCCATCTGGTCCTCCACCACAGATTCTGGTTCCATCCTGCCCTGGAATCTTCTAGAAGGAACGGGGCTCTGCCCCAAACAGGAAGGCAAACCCTCCCTTTCCCTGGGGTCCCCAAAGCCATACCAGTGGCACCCGCCCATCAGGCCTGGTGCACCGCTGTACCTCCGCCTCGGTGCCCCGGTAGTAAATGTCTGAAACGAAGCCCTGTGTCGGGGAGCAAACAGTTAGGGAAGGGGAGCAGGGAGGAAGGGAACAGACACAGCAAGGGTGTTCTCCGAATGAAGCCTAGGATGCATGCCTGACAGGGGCCCACACGCTCCCAGGGAGCACTGTCCCCCCCCTCCAACAGCAGAAGGCTTTGCGTGTCTTCACAGCCCCAGCCCGAGCTCAGAGCCTGGCACAGGGCCATGTGTCACTCAAGTTTGGCAAAAGACTAAGCGAGCACAAGCATTGTTGCCCTGGAGGAAACTCCTCCAAATCCACTGTACCAGAAAGTCCAGGGCAAGAGGCTGTGCAGAGCACAGGACCTGGAGGCCACGGTAGGCCGGCTCAGCTACCTGCTTCCCTGCCCCAGGGCCACTACCTGGGGGTCGGTGAGGTAGACGCCATGGTTCCGGGCATAGGCCACACTCCCTGGAAAGGCGATCACTCTGGCTCCCTGGAAGCCATCCCAGCTGATCCCTGTGGGTGGGGCAGTCAGGAGGCTCCCTGGAGCCCAAGCCCAGGGCAGGGAGACCCCAGCCAGATAAAAACAAGAGCTCATGGGAGGGGCATCTGGGCACCTCTAAAAGGAAAATATGGTTTCCAAGCCACATAGACATTCCACTGGGAGAATGACAATGCCCCCCATCCCAAAGTTCTACCCCAGCCCTTTGGGGCAGAAGGGGCAGGGCTGGCGTCTCCATTCTCAGTCTGGGAGACGGAGGCCCAGCAGGGGAAGCCCTGCCTCCAGGTCTGGACTTCACCCTCCACACCCTACAGCTTCCCTTCTAACGTGGCAGTGGGCGGGGCCCAGAAATGGTGAGCCTGGGAGAGCACAGCCCCCTTTGGGCTGTGGCCAGGGAGGCAGTCCCAAGCCTTCTCCTGCTCACCTGGGTTGGGAGGAACAGACAGCAGCATGTCCGTGCTGCAGACCCACACACCTGGCGGGGAGCCTGGGCCCAGCTGTGGGAGAGAGAGTGCAGCTGGTGGCCGGGCCCAGCCCTTCCTCTGCAGCCACACAGCCCAGCCTCAAGAGCCTGTCCCCATGCTCTAGGGGAGATTCTGGCTGCTGAGGGAACAGGGGTCTCCCCAGACCCTCCTGCCTACCTCCTGGGGTCACACCTGCCCCAGTTTTGCCAACACTAGTTTCCTGAAGCTCTAACTCTAGGCAAACCCCAAAGCTGTTCTCCTTGGCATCCCGTCTGAGCCAGGACAGACTACAGCTGGAGGTGCAGTGAGAGGGGGGCAAGGCCCCAAGGCACTGCTGGCCTCACCTGATAGCTCATGATGTCCAGCAAGTGGTCCAGGTTGCAGACCACAGCCTCCACAGGGGCCTGCGGGTTCTCCACAGGGAGGCAGGTGAAGGCCCGGCCGCAGTCATCAAAGGGGAAGTCTCGGCCCTCGGGGGGAAGCAGGGACAGGTGAGAGAGCCCATGGGACAGAGAGCCTGAGGACACCCCATGGGCTGTGCAAGGGTGGAAGTCATCAAGCTAGAGGACTTTCAAAAAGTGTTTTCTTGTGTAGTATTTTTCAATTGCATGATTATAGAAAATGGCTAGAAAATGTAGATAGGCAAAAAGAACCACTACCCCTCGGGAATAATAACCATTCCTCTCATTTTGAGGTGTGTCTGGTCAGATTTGTGTTCATACATTCTTTAATTTTTTTTAACAAAAATGAGATTCTGAAAAGGTAGCGACAATGGAAGTTAACACACACATACACACACACACACACACGTAAAACTGGGGAGATAAAACTGGGAACTGCATAAAGCCAGGCCCCGTCTTCAGCATTCAATGGAGCATCTTAGCATGTCCACGGGAAGCAGGCACTGAGTGTCGTGGCCACCCTCACTTCACAGATGCGGACACTGAGGCCTAGAAGGGTCAGACGACTTGCCCAAGTCACAGAGCTGCTCAGTGTCTTTCCGGGCAACCCACAGACTTAGACGGGCCTATTAACTACTCTCTAATATTCCGCCAGGAGGATAAGCTGTTTATATTTAGCCAGTTGCCTGTTTTTGGACAGCTGGATCAATTCTGATTCCGATTCGCCTGGATTTGCACAATGAACACCTTGCACCCAGACCCCGCAGGTGCTGTCCAGCCCCGAGGATCGACGGCGCCGGCCTTCTGCACGGCACCTTGCCCAGCGTTTCACTCACTGTGTGCAGGATGAGGATCCAGGCCGAGTGCAGGACATCGGATGTGACCACCTGTCAAGAGTGAAAAAGCCCTGTTGGCAGAGGCCTGGGCAGAAGGCGCCCAAGGATGGCACCCTCTTGCCCGGGGAGAGACCCCAACACAAATCCGCTCAGGTACCAGAGGAACAATGTGAGCACTCACCGTGAAGCCTGCCCGGGCACTCAGGTGCTCGGCAGCCACCAGCAGGGCATTGAGGGTGGCTCCCCCGCTGCCCACACGAGTCTCAGGGTCCTCCACGGCCAGCACCAAGGTTCCCTTGGGGATCTGCTCTCGTTTCTGGCGCACTTCCAGCTCTGTGGTCAGAACATGGCTGGTCCCTGCCCTCAGCCTCCCAGCCCTGGTCCCAAGCACCTAAAGCCAACCTACTGATCACTACTATTTTATCTTCTTTGACTCGGTAGCTTTTCACGTAGTCATTCATTAGAGCTTTACCCAACTTTGTGAGGTGAGTACAGTTATTCATTTTACAGATGAGAAAACCAAGTCTCAGTGAAGTGACATGATGTGTCTGTATACTAAGGGTCACATGGCTAGGAAGAAGCGCCACCTGGGTTTGAACCCAGAACTGCCCGACTCCTGCAGCTATAGGGGTGTGGTGGGAGTTAGGGCTGAGTGGGCAGGGAGGATCCCCTACCTCTCTGGAAGACCTCGACACTGTCCTTGTGCTGGCATGTAAGGATGACGACCGTCCAATCAACCCCTTTGGGCTGCTCCATTCTGGACAAAATTGAGGGGCTTCCTGAGGCAGAGACAGGGGTGTACATGAATTATCATACCCTAAAATTGACTTTTCGGTGTACAGTTTTATGAAATTTAACACATGCATAGATTCTTGTGGTCACCACCATCTGCACCCCAAAAAACTCCCATGTGCTACCCCTTTACAGTGACGCTTTCCTGCATCCCTCACCCCTGACAACCACTGATCTTGTCTTCACAGCTCCAGTACGGCTGCAATCTTCTGAGATTGGCTTCTTTCACTCAACATAATGCCTCTAAGATTCATCCAAATTGGCTGTGTATATAAGTTCTTTCTTGTCTTTTTCTTTTTTCTTTTTTTTGGCCAAGCAGCATTCCATTGCATGGACCTTGCACGGTCTATTTCTCCAACCATGCACTGACAGACGGACAGACACTGGGCTGTTTCCAGGCTTTGAGAGCCAAGAATAGAGCTGCTGTCAACATTCACGTGCAAATGCAGGGTGAACAGAAGACTTCATCTCCCCAGGTGGGTACCTCACTGTGGGATTGCCGTGTCATGTGTTAAGTATATCTTTGACTTTCTCTTTCTGGGTGCGTGTGATTTCCTCAGGAGAAGAAGTAAAAGGAGCAAGGTGAAGTAGTCAGTGGGTCCCACCTTAAAGCAAGGGGCTGCCCTTTCTGAACCACCAGCCCCTCATCACTCAGTTCATTGGCTGTGACCTGGGAGGAGGGAAGGCCTAACCTCCCAGGCTCCTGAGGCTGAAGGGAATTCCCTGGAGAAGGGGGCAGTTGTGGGAGGAGTGTACCAGCCTGTTCAAGGGATCCAGCCAGGGTGCCAACAGCGCCCACTCCAGGGATCTCAGAGGGGATCTCCCCTTCCAGAGGCTCTAAGCCTAAAAGCGGCTACAGCCCTACCTGCCAGCCACCTTCCTCCAGGCCACTCTGAGCAAGTGAGGGGAAGAGGAGGCCAAAGCTACAGCTGTACCCCTTCGGGTCTTCCCCAACACTTCTCTCCTGCCAGGTAGAAAACCAGTCTGACTCCAGGGCATCCCCTCCCAACACCTCCGCAGACAAGTCCCCAGGAGTGCCCTGACATCTACCTCTGGCAGAGTCCCAGCTATTGTCCTACAAAGTGGCCCACCCCCACCTCTTCCCTCCATCCCCCAAAGCTCAGTGTCAGAGAGATGGTGGAGCTGGCTGCCTGCCTTCCTAGAGATGCCCAGAACACAGGTCCTGCCCATGCCCCGGCCAAAGCCATCAGGAAACCTGAACCACAGCAAGTTTCTTCTTGGACCAGACGCCTCTGCCACCAGTCGTGTGGTTAAGGTTGACAGGCACCACCACTTAGCAACACCCACGCTGCCACGAGCTTTCAGGGAAAGCCTCCGCCACTAACAGAAACTGCTCTGTTCCCTGCTCAGCCCAGGAGGGAAATCCAGAGGGGAAATCTGAGCTAGAGATCTTGGCCAGACATCTGAGGGCAAAGGCATTCCCCAGGATGCCCAGGCAGACCTTCCCAGTAAAGAGGCCTCGAGGGAGTCCAGCCTGGCCCCCACCTTCCTGTGTGACCTTTGGCACCCCTAACCCTCTCAGGCCTCCTGAGCCAGGAAATATAATTGACCGATGCTCTCAGCTTGTTCACATGCTTCCCACCAACGGCTCTCAACCAATGACTCAGTGCAGCAGGGACATGAAGACAGAGCCATTCTGGCAATTTGGGGATCCTCTGCCAGGCAATCTTGGCTCCAGGACTCCCCACGCACCCAACAGACACTGTCTCACGACCTCACTGCAGTCTGAGACCCTCCCTACCCGTCCCTCCCTACTTCTGGTATTCCTTCACAGGGAGCAGATGGACAGCTTCCCCTGCTTCCTCCAGCTCCCTCCTCTTTTTCCTTCCCCCAATAAATCTAATCCTACCTTGGTCTCAGCTTATGCAAGAACCTCAACCAACACGGAGAGTACATTATCCCCCTTTGGCACCTTCAAAAGAAAAATCACCGTACAAACCTCTAAGTTACTGTGTGAGAAGTACGTCTTTATCCTAAAGAATACATGATGAAGAAACTGAGGCACAGCCCTGGCCAGGTAGCTCAGTTGGTTAGAACCACATCCCACACACCAAAAGGCTGCAGGTTAGATTCCCTGTCAGGGCACATACCTAGGTCGTGGGTTTGATCCCCAGTTGGGGTGCATATGGAAGGCAACCGATCAATATTTCTTCTCTCATATCAGTTTCTCTCTCTCTCTCTCTCTCTCTCTCTCTCTCTCTCTCTCTCCCTCTCCTCCCTCCCTCCCTCCCTCCCCCTTCTTCTCTAAAATCAATAAACATATCCTTGGGTGAGAATTTTTTTTAATACAACTGGGCCACAGATTAAGTCACATGTCCAAGGTCACACAGCTATCAAGTGGCAGAGCCAAATGTGAACCCAGACACTTCTGTTCCAGAGTCCAATCTTTTAACCACTACTCTGAACCTACTGTGTAGGACTGAAAAAAAGACAGAAAGGATAAATACACGTAAAGGGCTCCATACAGGTGGCAATGAAGTGGGATGACGTTAACAATAACAACCATATCTACCTATGAAAACTTGTTTTGGGTGGTATCCTTTCTCCTTAATCAGCTTGTCAATTCTGCCACCTTACTTGCAGTAAGTGGCCTGGTGTCACTGTTTTCAGGGGACCCCTTGCTGAAGTCTTCATATAGGCTCAATGCTTTCTGGCTCAACAGGTAGCCATCAATCAGAACACATTTTCTGTTCATATCTTCCACCCACACATTTAATGCATTTTCCATCTTAACCAAGCACTTATCACTCCTCACGCCCTGAGGCTGTAACTTTTGCAGTTTAAAGTGCAACAGCAAAACCAGCACGTACTTTTTTCCTTTTTCACGATTTCACTGATAGATTTGTTCTTACCACAGATGTTAGCAGCCTTGGCACGTGATTTTTTTTCTTCCCTTATTAAATCCAGAACTTTCATCTTCTCATTTAAAGGAAGCACTTTACGGCTACTCTTTACCATATCTGAATCCCGAGCGTTTTGAGGCTATTATCAAGTAAAATAAGGGCTACTTGAACTGAGACACCTGACAGCGGATCTGATAACGGAGAAAGGCTACTAAGTGACAAAACAACTGGTAGCCTATACAGCCTGAATAAGTGGGACAAAGGGATGATTTACGCCCCAGACAGGAGGGAGCAGGTCCAGGGAGATTTCATCGGGCTACTCAGAACTTCAGACAATTTTATAACACGCATTGTTTATTTCTGAAATTTCCATTTGATATTTCAGACGGAAGACCTCAAGTAATTGAAACCGTGGAAAGGAAAACCACGGGTAAAGGTGGGGCGACTAGTGTAATTGAGATTTGTGCATAGTGACAAGACCCCCATGGGCACACTGGGGCAGCAAAATCGGCCTCAAAGCAAAATCCTCGGCGCCAGTATTCAGCACCCCACCTGCCTCTGGGGTGAGGAGACCCTGGAGCCCGTATTCCCTGCCTGTCCCCAGCGCTCCCAGGTTGCGAACTCCCGTGGAAAGACCCAGGCAAGAGGGCAGTTTGACTGGCGACTCCCCCTTCCTCCTACAGCCAGTGGGCGCCCAAGGGCTCCAACAGAGTTCTTGGAAACTCTCTGCCTCGGTCCTGCGCCTGGGAAAGGATCCGCCAGGAAATGCCGACCGGGTACTGAGGCGAGGAAAGCAAAGACTCGCGCAGACCCACGTACCTGACTCCGCCAGCGCTAGGCTCGGCCGGCCCTTGAACGCGGGGGCTGCGCGACCCGTTGCGGCGCACCCTGGGAAATGTAGTTTCACCCCTCCGCCTGCCCAGGCTCGTCCTCTCTGGGGAAAAAAGCTCCCCGCTATAGCAGGGCAGACGAATTTAGTCAGGACAGCGCTTTCTGAAAGAGCGGTCAGTCTTCAGATCCGGAAAGAAGGTGAAGCGAGAAGGTGACTCCGTTGGCCAGCAAACTACAACTCCCAGAGGAACCAATGTGTCTTAAAGACACAGGCTTGTTTTCTGCGACGCCAGGTTGCAGGTTTTGGGTTTGTTTGACCCCCCTCTCGGGACATGAAGCAATTGCTTTAATCCGGAGGGAAAAAAAAATCGGGGAGGGAGGTGGGGGAAAAGAGAATCCTAGATGTTGCCCGAAAGTAAGCGGCTACCGTTGGATTAGCAGTTAGCAATGTTTTCGGGGTTTTCAGCACAGGGATCCTTCCGGAAGAAACTTTCTGGCTCTGCAGTGGAAAGAGGATTTACGGAGCTTTTTGATAAGTTTTGAATGGCAGCATTGTTTGTAATAGTGGGAAATTAGAACCACTCTCTCTTTAGGGTACTGGAGAAATAAACTAGGCACATCCATACAATGGAATACTGTGCAGCAGTTAGAACCAGGTAGAACTTTATGTACAATAGGAAACGGTGTTCAAGGCATTTTGAACACCGAAGGGAGAAGCAGCACGCTATCTAACCCTATGTATGGGAAGCCACTCATGTCAAAAATAATGTACATGGACACATAGTATGTGCAGGAACAGGACTGGAAGGGAACACACCCTGGGGCAGAGACTGCTAGGAATGAGGAGAGGCAAGGAGAACCTAAGCTTTAGCCGTATGTTTGATTTTTTCTTACAAGAACATACTTTCCAAGTCTGTCACTAATAGGGGAGCCTGAGAGGTCCTACCTTCAGTCTTAAAGGAGACTGGGGACCCTACTCTAGTCCTGTGTAACCTTGGCCAGTCACTTGGTTACTCTGAGTCTCCTTGTCACCATCTGTAAAAATGGATTAATAATAATACCAAATGCTGAGATTGTTGTGAGGGTAAAATACATGCTTGACTCCATAGTAAATGCTGAGCATATTAACCATTTGACAAGAGAAAAATGCTGAGTTATCCTGAATGAATTTATAGCAGGCCAGAGGGGAAGAGGAGAGAGGTAAGAGGTTAGTTAACAGAGCCACAGGCCAAAACCGGCAAAGGAATGTGCACATTCCTGAACATAAGTTACAACTTGCAATGAACTTCGGGGGCTATCTAAAAAAAATAGTGAACCACAAGCTGCCACCTCATCCAGTTTATGGGTGAGCTCTCTGACTTGTTGCCCCAAACCAACCCAGAACCCCTCTTTAAATATAGCCAGCATAAGTTCTTCCAGAACAACTTCTATCTTTCTTCCCCAATCCCATTGTATAAGAAGGATCCTCCGCCCCCAGTTCCAGGACTGAGGGCACATTCTTCTCCGTCTAGGCCTGCTACTGCTGGTTTAGACTGTATGTTCCAGGATGTGGTCCTTTTTATGGCTAGCATATGGTTCAATAAACCCTTTCTTTTAGGAAGGCCTCTGGCCACAAAGGTTTCTTGTTGAACATATTATGATTCTGTTTATTGTTGATATTCTCATGCTGCTGCGTTAAAGCAGGGTCTTTGTTTTGTCTACTAGAACAGTGCCTAGGACATCGTAGGTGGTTAAAACAGTTTGTTAAATGAATGAATGAATGAATGAATGAGCAGTCCCCTGCTCTGCTTCTACCACCTCACTACCTCCCTCAAATTTCTCTCCTTCCCTCGGTCTTCTCCCACTGGGCTCGTTCCCCTTCTTCATTTGGTTCAGGTCTCATCCTCCTTCCCACACTTCAGTGCCCGTTCTTTCTTCTGTGAGCCCAGGAGGCCTCCAGGGAAGTTATGAGCCAGCTGCCTCCCACTGCTGCCGTTCTCATCAATGCAGATCCCCTCTCTGCAGTGGAGTGGGAAGCTGGGATGCCTACAGCCACAGCTTTGGTGAGGGCTCAAGGAAAATAACATGCCCTAAGGAGCTCAGAGGTCAAGGGCTTCACCCCACCTCCTCGGGAAGACAAGCTGGAGGGGTAGGGAGTGGTTCCAAGGCCACGTGGACTTCTCAGACTGAGAGGCAAAGATATTTTAGGAGAGTTTTTGATAAGCGGAAGGGCTCAGTGCAATCCGTCAGCAGCAGACACAAAAAACACCAAGCTTTCGGCTCCATGTTTAGTCCTACTGTCTGCAGCAGGGTAGACAGAGCCATAAAAAATATTCCAGAGTTGTCTGTGGTATAGGGTAGAATCTAGTGGTTAAATACAAGGGTTTGAAATCAGTTCCCATTACTTTCTTACTGTGTGAGCAAGCCATTGTCCCTCTGTGAGCCTCAGTTTCTCCATCTATAAGAATAGAATAGTATTTACCTAATTGGGTTGTTGGAAGGATTCAGTGAGCTAATGCACATAAAGGGGTTAGCACAGTGCCTGGCCAGATTAAGCACCCAACTTCCTTCTTATTAAACAAACATGCTGCCAGTGAGTGAGGGCCCAGGAAGGCTTCTTGGAGGAGGTCCAATCTGCAGGGCCCTGGATGAGATGTGCAGCTGCTGCTGGTAGCAGGAAATCCCCTTGGGAGCCAGGACTGCTGCCCACAGGGATATCTTAGATTGGGTCCCCTAGATACAGGGCCTGAGACAGGGATTCCAGTGCAAATGATTTAGAGCAGAGGAAAGCAGGATAGAGCAGGGGATGAAGCCAAGCAAAGACGTGGCTTCATCTAAGCCACAGGTGGCAAACACAATGCCCGTGAATCTGGCCCTCCACCTTGTTTTATCCAGCCCAGCACCTTATTTCTACCTGGTGGCAGCGCCAAGCTCTCACTTAACCATTAAGGAGTAGTTACATCTAAACAGTCCTAAAATTACATTCGGCCCTTTAAAGGCAGCCTCAAGGCTGATGTGGCCCCCAGTGAAAATGAATTTAACACCCCTGATCTAAGTGTTGCCTCAGTCTGATCCTACAGTGAGCTCTGGAACATGTAATGCACCATAAGGCTTATCCCCCTCAAAAGCAAGGGAGATTTGTGTACTGTAGGCCACTGGGAGGTGGGAAACAGAGCAGCATAATTTGCTAGGCATTTCTGAGTGAAACATGGACTATGTGGACTGAGGACCATTCTCTGGAGAAGGGCGAAGCTGTGAGCCATTAGCAGCCAACACAAGGAAAGTGGGGGGCCAACCCTATAAAGGGAGGTCACCAACAGCATTTACCACAGGAGGACTGGCAAAGAGACAGAAATGGGGTAAAGAAAATGGAAAGAGGATATTAAACTCTCCTGTTGGGTCTTCCAAGGAGAAAATGAAACAGCCGGTATGGTTTTTAGAAATTAAAGCACAGCCCTGGCTGGTGTGGCTCAGTGGATTGAGCGCCAGCCTGCAAACCAAAGGGTCACAGTTCAGGTTCCCGAATCAGGACTCATGCCTGGGTTGCTGTGGGTCAGGTCCCCAGTAGGGGGTGCATGAGAGGCAACCACACATTGATGTTTCCCTCTCTCTTTCTCCTTCCCTTTCCCTCTGTCTAAAGATAAATAAAACCTTAAAAAAAATTAAAACACAGACTTGAAAGAATAAGCAAACAGTGAACCCCTTCTGGAGAGCATTACATGCCCTTACCCTTTCTTAAGGAAAGTGGCCCCTCTTCCCTTAAGCCCGACGGCCATGACTGTGAGACAATTTGCGCAGTATTTCCCAGAGAGTTCTCTAAGATGTTAACAAGTGTTGCCTCAGGGAGGGTGCACAATCATTAAACAATGGTAGATGGGGTTTTTTTCTTCTCACAACTTTTAAAAATCAATATAGTCGATAAACAAAATGTAGTGTCTCCATGCAATGGAATGTTATTCAGCCATAAAAAGAATGAAATAGCCCTGACTTGGTAACTCAGTTGGTTAGAGCCTTGTCCCAAAATGCCATGTGGCAAGTTTGACCTCCAGTCAGGGCACATACGACACTGACAACCAATGAATGCATACATAAGTGGAACAACAAATTGATGTTTTTTTTTCTCTCCCTTCTTCTCTCTAAGATACACAAAAAAATTTTAATTTAAGAATGAAATACTAATACATGCTACCACACAAATGAAGCTTGAAAACATCATGCTAAGTGAAAAAAGTCAGACGCAAATGACCATAGATTGTATGATTCCATTTATATAAAATGGCTGGAATGGGTAAATCCTCAGGGGCAGAAAACATATAAGTGGTTGTCAGGGGCTGGGGTGGGGAAATGGGGAGTGACTGCTTAGTGGATACACAGAGTTTCCTTCTGGTAAAAATGTTTTAGAACTAGAGATATTGGTCACAAAATATTGTGAATGTACTAAATACACTGAATTGTGTGCTTTAAAACATTGGTTTTTATATTATGTGAATATCACTTCCTTTTTTTTAAAAAAAACAACTCAGTGTACTTGTTGCTAATGGGGTATCACTGCTCTCAGGCCTTCTCAGTGGACAAAGCCAGGGGAAAAAATACCTACATGCCTGAAGAACTGCAGGCTAACACACAAAGCATTCAGCAAACATGCTAGGTTAGGGAGTCCTCTTCTAGAAGAGCATCTCTCAGGATCTGTGACGCAGCACAACTCGGAGAAGGCTGCTCCGGTGTACAGGACATAGGTGGGAACTGGGGCCTCTGAGATGAGTCTCCCCGGGCACTGAGGATGGGGCACACATGGGAGGATGACTTCTGCTTTAATCAGCACCTGTCTTCTGTCATTTTGTGTGTCCTTTGGGAAACTGCTTCTCTGACCCATGCATGAATTTATCCACCAGAACAAAGGTCTCCATCAACATTGAAAGGACAATTTTAAAAGTTTGGTATTTTTAATGTTTTGCTAGATCTCAAGCTCTCAGAAAGTAGGGTCCAATTCTTTGATTTCTGTATATTTCATGGTGTCTACCATGAGGTAGCACATATTAGACAAATGACCTTGGACAAGCCATTTAAACTTTCTGAGCTGCCTGACAATTCTCCATTCAATGGGGACTCCTGCCAGAGGCCAAGTGACTTTTCACTGATTTTATATGTATATACAAAGCATGCATACACACACAGACACACACACACTTTAGGATAAATGTGTGTATGTATATACATACATGTACAC